CCCGCCTCCGCCCTCCGCGCTCGGCGGCCTCTCCACGTGCTCGCGTCCCACCTGCAAAGGGCTCCCTGCCGAAGACTCTGCCACCCGGCCCCCTTGGCATCCAGGGGCATCTGAGACGCAGCGTGGGCATCGTCTCTTTTGGCCCTTGTCCGCCTTAGTACTTCTGCCCGGTAACTACAACAAATACCCCATCCCCCTCGGTGGTTTCCTCGCCCCATAGCTTTTGTGAGCAGGGTCAGCATCTTACCGTTATATGCCTCATATATAGGAATGAATCAGTGGCAGGTGGGTGGTCATTGTTGGCACTTAATAAATATTGGATAAATAAATATGGTGCAATTTACGAGTCTCGGTGGAGCATTGGGCTGCAATTGGGAGAATCTCCCCAGGGCGAAAGTAGAAATTGGACTTGTAGGGCCTCTGTTTTCAGTAATGCCTCAGCCTTACCCAGTGATCTGCAAGCCTACCTCATGCCCTACCTGCCCAGCCATCTCCTCCTACCAGGCCTCAAAACTTGCCCACACCCATCTGGCACTTTCTCTGTTTTTTCCCAGTCCCCTGAGGGAATCCTGTGCTTTCTCCAACCCGTGACCTTTGGAAGGGGGCGGTTCATTTCCCTGTCACCTCATTCTGGTTGGAGGGAGCCGTAGAAAGCCAGGATTATTTCCACCCCACGGGTCTTAAGCCGGTGTCTCTGCTCTCTGTGACTAAACAAGTCCCCTGTGGTACACATTTGCTTAAGAAAATGACCTGTAGCCTGCAGCCTTGAGTTTTCAGTTACTCAGGACTTCCAAGGAGGAAACAGAAGGCTCCAACCCACTCTGAGTTGGGAATTTTATGCTCCACAGATTTAGAATTATAGCACAACAGAATATTAACAGGAAAATTAAAATGGCCTCTTATTCCTCCCTGCTGGCCACATGAAACAGGAGGCTCAAAGACGTGAAAAGTCCTGGGCAAGGCTCTACAGCTTACTGGTGACAGAACTGGACTAGAGCCCATGGGTTCTGACCATGACCAGTGCCCCTGCCCTAGTGAACTCTCAGTAGGAGAGGCTGTGCAGTGGGTGTCTCCAATCCTGAGCCTCTTGGTTCCCTCTGAACCAGAACCCTCAGAATTCCCTGGGCTCATTGTTTCTATTTTATAATCCACATGGATCCTGCTCTGTGATTCTGAGAAAGTCTCTCTCTTACCTTAACTTAATTTCTGCACTGACACAACACTGAATGTAATGCTTTGCGTTCCACCCTCACAGGCAGGTGCTGGCAGCAGGATGGAACTCAGCCACCTACATCAGCAGTGTGTCTTTTAGTCCTTGACTTGCTATCGTTTATCACTTGTGCCTCCCAAAACACTCACACACACACCCTGTAGTGACCTGGAGGGAATTCTAGCCTGGCCCAAAGGAACTTTACATGCTTCTGGAAAGGCTGAGATCAGTCTCCCAGAAGCAGCTTGAGACATTTGGCGCCAGTTAGAAGAAAATGGTGCCTGGGTTTCACTTCTGCCTCTAAAGGTGATTTGCAGAACTACCTAGCTGGCTTTGTAACTGTTAGTAGGTAGAAAGGGAAGAAAAATTGAATGAAATAGCAAAGGATATGAGGGTATTTTCAAAGGAATAACTTGGGACCTAAAAGATTGAAAATGTAGGCTCAACTGAGGAGCAATTGCTATTACTATTATTAGTATTACTTTAGTGGCACTATCTCTAAATAACTTAAATCAAGTGAGGTCTCCATATGAGAAAACAGGAAATAAAGATAATCGAGCAGAAATTGTGGGCCAGACCCATCTTCCTGAAGCTGCTTCCTGTCCTCCTTGGTCCAGTGCTGACTTCACCCTGGGGGGTCTGTTCCTGACCTGGGTTGAGTTACCCATATCTCTGAGAATGAATTTTCCCAGGCCCATAGCACTGTCCCAGCCCCAGCCGCAGCCGCAGCCCCAGCCCCAGCCCCAGCCCCAGCCCCAGTTCCATGTGATACCGAAACCAAGATGACAGCTTTGGCCCACGTACCAGCAGGTTACTTTCCGTGGTGAGGTCCTGACACTGGCTGCTTTCCAGACACCAGCCACGCACTTCCATGGAGGCCTGAAGCAGCAAGGCAAGCAGTAGGGCCCCCGAGCGGCTGCAGCATGATCTAGGCATTTTCTAGGCAGGCTGGGGCTCTGCAGAGGCAAACAAGATTGGTGGGACCCCTGCAAGGAGCAGAACAATGTTGGCCACTCACCAGGAAGGACCAGGAGCCAACATTAACAACACAAACACTTGTGGAGCTCAAGGCTTTTAAGGACAGGAGCGGTTCAAGGAGAAGGTTAGTTTGCAGAGTTGTGTTAGAGAGGAAGGGAATAGGACCTGGGCAAACCATGTGCAATTTCCCCTTTATCTCCTATTAAAAATCAGACCCCAAAGAAGCTATTTTAAGGGTCACTTAGTTAAGCCTATTATTTGAGAGACAGGGAAACTGAGGTCCAGAGCAACAATAACTTGGGTGTTCGTCACAAGGTAAGGCTAAGTTCCATTCATAGCACAGGGCCTTCCTATTTCACCACCTTCATGAAGCTATAGTTCTAACCCTTCAGATCCAAGGAATAACTTGGGAAAAACAAGGACTCTGAAACTCCTGCTCAAGGTGGTCTCTCCCTACTTCCCCACCAAGATCCTAGCATTCCTCAGAAACTCTATTTTCTGTGAATACTAGGTTTGCATAAAGACAAACAAAACCTTTGGCCCATTTAGCCAAAACCTCAACCAGCCCAATCTTCTGTCCTGTACACAAATCACTCAGGTGATCACTATTTCACAGACCTCTGCAACTTTGGAGAGATTTATTTTAAAGTGACCCCCATTCTTTTAAAAGTGCATCATCTTCTGGACACATTACATGTCAGACCTCTTAATCTCTGGTTCTCTCAGATGTAGTCTGAAATAGCTGAACTTGAAGATGCTGTCGGTGTAGAAGGGAAAGAGAGAGACACAGAGGGCAGAAGGGAATGACCTCCCATTGTGAACACCTACCAAGGACACTTTCAAGTACCTCTGTCCAGACGCTGAGGTCAAGAGGTCAGGGTGCACATTGCTGGCTGATGCTGCCTTTTGCCCCTTGTGCCCAAGGCTTTCCCCTACCTCTAGGTCTCATGCTGCCAAATTCCTCCTCTCCCAGGCTGGCCCATTGAAGTGGCCCTAAGTTCTGTCATCAGCTCACCACCAACCCCGCAATCATTTTGTATTTCAGAAGATCTTCTCAACCAGCTGTTAAGAAGGAACCTAATTAGATGAGAAAAGTAATTCACATTAAGGTGAGGATGATTGTTTGTCTCGCCTAATGGACATTTGCATTTTTAAATGTTTGCCTAAAAGAAGCCTCTCATTTTTGGAGGCATGGGCCATATCTTTTTTTATAGGGAAGGCTTTGGAAGTGAAAGTTCTCTCTGGCTCTCATTGTCTTACTTCAGAAAGCCACTTCCTTCTCTCTGCCCCACCCCTACTTATTTCCCCAAAAGCTGAGCCAGCTCAGGGCTCCCTTCTGAACTGCAGCCAGGTATCGCGAGAATGTTTTCAGAGCAGCCATTAGATGGCGCCGGCATCCAGTGAGCTGACCCATCAGCATCCCAGGCAACTGGGAGAGCATTGGTCAACCTTGATATCCAGTGGTGACCAGGGACAGGCTGCTCCTGTTGTGGCCTGTTGATGATCTAGTTCAAGTATGAAGCCTGAACTTGCTGGACAAGGCAATTTATATTAAAGCTCTGAGACCACACAGCACAGTTGGGTCAGAAAAATGCCCAGATTTACACAAGAAGCAGAAAAATTATATATCACTGCATGTATAAAATAATGTCAAAGAATTAAGTAGAGAAAGAAGTAAAATCATACAGTTCTGACAGTTCCTTCAACTATATATCAATTCTCAAAATTGGCCATTCTGGAGTGATTTCCATTTTCTAAAAATCTACCTCACGATTGCCGGCCTCCTGGGGAGCATTTCCTTACCTTCTGCCCCAGTGGCGGTGTTGTACACATGGTCAATTTCTCATGTCTCACCCTCTCAGAGCTTCATTCTACCGCTAAAAACTTAGATTGTCTCCTGAAAGCAATTTGTTTTCTTTTTGCTTGTATGTAGTCTTTATTTTTCTACAATGAATAAATGTTGCCTTGTGCCATTAAAAAAAAAAACAAAAAACCACAATATCGTTATGGGGAGATGTAAAATATTGTGCTTTCTGTAAGTAGGGAGAGTGATTTGAGAGCCTTGGAAAAATAAATAGGAGTCTATACTATGTTAATCTTGACATTAGCTTTATAATAGAACTACACTTGTTAGAACTTCACATGTGCAGGTGAATTCTCTGTGAGCTAAACAAAACGTTGTGTTCCTCTAAAGCTGCACACTGGCCATGCCCTTCTGTAAAGATTAGAGGTGCAGAGTTTTGTCCTTGCACCGAGATACACATGCGTCAAGTCCTAAAACAGAAGCGTCAGAGGATTAAGTTATTAAATAAGCCGTAATCTGAACAATTGATAAAACAAATACACACTTTTATTTCCCTTGGCTCTTTCCAGCCATTCTGTGAGAACCACCTCCCTGTTTAGACACAAAGAATTTGGGGGGTCCGAATGCCCTGCAGACTCTCCCTCCTTCACCGGAAACTGCCCTTGCCTGAGCCTCGGTCGGCTCAAACGGCCACGCCCGCCCTGCACCCCAGGGCCTGCGGGACGGAAGGTCCACCCTGACGCCCACTGAGGCGCTGCCAGGGCAGTTCAGCACCTCGGACAGTTCCCGCCCGGGCCGCCTCTTCCAGCTCAGCGGGGGCTGGCGGAGGACACCAAGTCATTTTCACAGCGCAGCCCCCTCGAGCGCTAAGCTGAGCAGACGAACGAGAAGTCAGGGATCTGAATCCTGAATCCACAAAATCTGAAGTGCAGGGAGCTGCTTGTGACTTTTCGCCTTCTCTCCTGCCCTCGTTTCCAAGGCTAATTTGCGCTACAGTACATGGCACCTTTTAACTGACACCTACCCAGAAAATCAGGAGGGAGTGGTGCCCTGAGACCGAGCGCCCGGAGATCTCCCCAGACGACGGTAGGAGCCTCGGGGAGCCTAGCAGCGCCCTCCCCGGGGGAGCCGCGGCCTCCAGCTCCTGGAAGGCACCGCTCCCCCTCGCACCGGTCGCGCTCCGCTGCGGGCGGCTCCCCTCGCCGCGCTCGGTAGAGAAAGTTTTCAAAGCACCCGGGCCGCGGGCGGGAGTACCCCGCGCTCCCGGCAGGGGCCCGGCTGAGAGCGGGCTCCCCGCGCCCTTACCTGTCGCGGAGGCGCTGGCTCTGGCTGAGTCCCGCCGCGAGGATGCTCCGCGGCCTCTCTCCGACGGGTCCCTTTCCTTCCGTTCTGTCTCCTGCTCCCCGCCTGGTCCTGGTCTCTCTCCTCGGTCCTTTTATACGGGGCTCGCGGGAGTGGGCGCTGGATGTGAATTTCCCGGCAGGGCAGCGTAACAAGCAACTCCCCCGTCCCCGGGAAGGGGGGCCATGGGCGCTGGAGGGGGCCTTCTAGGTAGGGGCTGCGCCAGGGCGTCGGGGAGGGGAGGCAGGAATTAGCACTGCCCCGCGGAAGGACGCACCTGGCGGCCGCAGGAAAGAACTTAATTAAGGACGGTGCTGGGCCTCCAGTTGGGACGGGCGGGCGGCTTAGCACCCGGGTGTGGGGTGGGCCCGCGCGCCCGCTGAGGTCGTGGAGGAGAGGGTGACGTTCCTTGTGTGCGTGCTTGGGCTGGCATCTGCCTCGCATTTGCAGGTAAATATCACCGCAAAGAGAGGACATCAGTAATACCTCAGATGTCCCCAGCATTTGGAAACTGATTTGAAGATGTCACGAGGAATCACAATCCCTCTGTTCCAGGTTGGGGGTGGGGGGGAGCAACAGAGAAGGTCAGGAGTCACTCACCTGAGGTCCAGGACAGGCTGCCTTCTTGGGGTGTGAAAGTGAGTTGCACTGCTCCACCCCCCACATATGTGTTTATGGCTGTAAGTTTCTAGTTATGGTTTTAGTTGCATCCACAAATTTTGACGTCATATTTTTATTACCATGTAGTTTAAAATATCTTATTTTCATTGAGATGTCTTGATTGGCCTTTGGGTTATTGAGATGTGTTCTGTTTAACTTCCAAACATTGGGGATTTTCTAGTTATGTTTTGGAACTAATTTTTAGCCAAAGTCTCCCGTGGTCAGAGAACAGGCTCTATTTGATTTCAGTCCTTTGAAACTGGGGGCAGGGGGCTGCTTCGTGACCATGTGGTCCATTTTAACTGTTTCATGTTCATTTCAAAAGAATATGTATCCTGTGATTGCTCAAATATTCTGTATCCTTTCTATATACCTCTGTATTTTCTGATTATTTGTCATCTTACTCTATTAGTTACTCACTGAAGTATGTTTTTAAAATCTCCCCATTTTTTGTGTGGACTTATCTAGTTCTCCCTTTGGTCCTGGCATAAAAACAAGTCTTTCTGGAAATCTAATGGTGAATAATATGGTGAGTGTGGGGCCGTGGTAGAGGGTACTATAGGGTCAGGGATGAGACAGCAGGAGGTACTAGAGCGTGGCTGCATGCCAATGGGAATAATTCAGCAGAGGGGGCAAGTTGGCTTTGCAGATAAGAGTGGGGAAAACCAAAGAATCCAAGCTTAAGTAGAAGCGAGATCCAGAAGAAGAGCCTGGCCTAGGAACATGGGGGGGCCTTCTCTTCCCCCACGGG